CGGCGCAAGGGCCAGGTCCCGTCCGCGGAGATGGCCACCGCCTTCAACAACGGCCTCGGCATGGTCTTGGTCGTCTCCGAGGCGGCGGGCGGAGCGGTCATGCGCGAGCTCGAGGCGGAAGGCGAGACCGTCTTCAGGGTGGGGAAGCTCGTCAGCAGGGCGGAGAGGGAGAGGGACAAGGATACCACCGGCTGTGTGCTCCTGAATCTGGAGTCTTGGGATGCCAGCGCGGGCGAGCAATGAGGTCGTCGGTAGGGCGGTGTGTGCGACGTTTCCACCATACCTACGAGGACATGATAGCGAGCCAGAAGAAGAAAAAAGAAAGTCATACTCCCTGTAACTAGTGTAGATATGCATCCTCTTCCACCCATGGAGACGAGAGACACGATTTGATATTGGATCAGTGACTTTACATGATGTCTTTGCTTTCGTCTTTCTAGCGAGCCTGTCTGAGTCTCTCTATGCTAGCTATCTTTACGCCCCGGACCCTCGATCTATCTATCGAGAAAAGAGAAAACCCAGAAACAGCTAGGGTTGAGCGTTGCAATGAAAGAAACGTCAGGCATCATCCTCGCTTTCTCAACGCCAACCAATCATTCGACCGTAAAAGGCTTGTCGTGGTCTTGAGCACAAGTGATGGCGTGTTCTGAACCCGCTACCGTCCGTGACCAGACCCGACCCCATTTTCTCTGCCCGGCCTAGAGCCAGATCGCTGTGCGCAAGCCGTGGCTATCTATTAAACCCGTGCAGGCGATCGATCTCTCTGAGGCGGTCGTCATCACAGCTCGCCCTTCTTGCTTCCGGCTCCCCCGGCTCCCCCTCCTCCTCCTTCAGACACCGGCGCCAAGCACTTCCTGATGAAACCCTCGACGTGGTCAATCTCCAGCGGATCCGCCGCATGGGGCAAGCCGTGATACGTCTTGAACTCCAAGTCGGCCACGCCGAGATCCTTCCTCAACACCTCGGCCGTCCTGACGCCCCAATCGTACTTGACCAGCGGATCGGCGTCGCCGTGGCCCATGAACCAGCGGGAGTCGCGGTTCGCGTTCCCGTTCTCCGCGGCCAGGGTCTTGACCTTGTCGCCCAGGAGGAGGTAGCAGGACAGGCCGAAGATGCCGGCGAGCTTGTGCGGCGTGGTCAGGCCGGTGAAGAGCGCCATGGCGCCGCCCTGCGAGAAGCCGCCCAGCACGATGCGCTCCGAGGCGATGCCGGCTGAGACTTCGCCCGCCACCAGGTCGTTGAACACGCTCCGCGACCGGAGGATGCCCGCTTCGTCGTGCGCCTCTTGCAGATCGTCGAAGGTCGTCTACAGGTAAAACAAGAATCTGGTGGTTAGCTGGGAATGGGGTTTCCTCGGGCCAGGCAGATCAAGACAGGGCGAAGCAAAAAGGGGAAATGTATATGGAACGAGGTTGCGGACAGCATCGCGGCGCCTTACTATGTCGTACCTGTTTTTCCTCGGTGGTGGTTAGGTCACTGGGCAATCGGGGGGAGCCAGCACTGGGGCGGGAGAGATAGTGCTCACCAACCAGGCATGGAGACGCCCATGTTCTGCAATTGGTTGGAAGACCATCAGTCAGCTTTTGTTCATGAGCTTTTGTTTTGGCTAGAGAGAGAGGCCACTGTCGTACAACTGTGATAGGTATGCTCGGCGCGTTGGGAAAAATGAATTTGACGTCTTCGAATTTCCCCCGTCGTCGCCAGTTCTCCGCCAGGCCGACCCTGACACGCAGGCGGATCCATGTCAGTTCGGAACAGGGGGCGGAAGAATAGGTCGGGTATGGAAAGGAGGAGAATGTAGAAGCTCACCAGCCTCCGCCGCTGCGTGATGGGTGATGGGTCAGCCTTGTATGTTTTTTTTCGACGGAGGGGTTATCTTGCTGCGTACCTGTCGCCCAGACCATGCGCCATGATGACGGTGGCAGTGTGCTTCTTGACCGCCGGAACAACCAGTGCAGGACCTGCCATCTTGTGGATTGCGACGATTCTACTTGCGCTCATCGATGGTAGGATACATGCCAGTAAGCAGAGGAAGATTGGTATTGGAAGATGCAGATGCCAAGTCATTTTCATGGGTATTATACTGTAAATACCGCAGATGTCTTAATCTGGACTAACTAATTTGCCTACCACGGTGAGGGCATAGTCGACTACGGAGGCAGATACTCGTATTCCGCTAAAAGGAAGAGACGGTAAAATACTGAAATACTGAATGTTTCCGGAGAGGCCAACCGAAGAGCCGAGTTGTATCGCAGTGGTATATTGACAGATTATTTTGCTCGTTCTTCAGAAATCAGCATTACAGCACCACAATCATGTCTAACAATCATGCACCTCCCTCACTCCGCTGGCCGGTGTAGAAGGCCAGGCCATACGTCTTTGTCTTGAAGGTAATGACCGCGCCCTTGGGGAAATAAAATACATCTCCCGCCACGGCGTGGACCTCCTGGCCCGTCTCGTCGGAAATGTCGAATTCTCCCTCCACAACGATCTTCATCTCGTGATAGGTGTATGTGTAGACCAGTGGGGTGCCTGCCTCGAGCCGGTAGAAGCCGCAGGAGATTGGTTTCTCGGCATCATTCTTGTCGCTGTCTGATTGTTAGATTGGGAACCGTGCACAAGGCTTGTCAGCGTTCAAGTGGGGAGAGCTCACCTGGAGTACACATCGCCAAGAAAGGCGTTTTCGTTGGCGATCAACGGAGGCTTGAAGGAAGATTGCGCTTTGCTGTAATGCTTGAAAGCAGTCTTCTCAGCCATCCTTTCCGACACAACTGCAGACTTCTGCGCGGCTTTAGGTATGGTTGACGATGGCGACCTGGTTAGTCCAGGGAGAGAAAGAGGAAAGAATGGTGAAAAGAGTGTCAAAGAGAAAGGACGCGACTAGGTGTTATGCTTGTTCCATTAGACTTTTCGATCGGCAAAGAAAAGTATGCAGGCAATCCTCGCCTTTTTGTACGCCGTTCCCTCAAGCTCCGCAGTATTGGATATGTGGTTGTCAAGACAAGGATATCCGATGCTGCACATGATAGTGTATCAATCAAGCAAGCAGTGCTGAACGAAACACAATGCAAGGACGCAAGAGACTCAAGGACAGCACCATACGCAGCTGCTAGTCAATCATTAGTGGTGTGAGGTAGAATATTATTGCCTATCTTAGACTGAAGATCCAGCAGAGGACGAAAGGCGATCCGACGGACTAATCCTAGTAGGACAGTAACGGCTTTGCCTGGTAACATCTTTCAGCCTCATCAAACAGCCATACTTTCGCATTCTAGTGCCTGGCATATCACCTCGGTTGGAACTTGCTACGTAGGGGCGAGCCAGACGAAAGGGACCGGGAAAGCCAATCGCAGTGTTGCGGCACTTCTGGTGGCGAGAGCTCACACTATGCTCGTTGCTGATGGCCAGTCACCTTCGCTTGTGACCATGAGGAATGCTAGAATTACTAAGCGACATTGTCGTTCGTAGCTCTTGTATGCACTTAGCCGGCATTGCACGGGAGCACAGAGCAACTGCCGATTGGAAGGGTAACAATATCGAATCCTGTACTCGGTACGGCGTTGGTGGCTGCGTCCAGGTTAGACATGGTCTCTTAGCTCCCATCACCAAGAATCTGGCAGAAGCTGGCAGAATCTGGCAGAATCTAGCAGCATGGCACCAGCAACTTGGCCCATTGCTGGGATCAAGTCACAGACCCGACGCAACTCGGCTCGTGAACTGTTTCGGCTCGTGCGGACTGCGGAAATGTGACCCGGAGGCGGAAGGGAAAAAGATGGGGAGAGCCATACCCCAATAGGAAGGTTATCCCCAATCAGGAAGCTAGTCTCAACGTGGAAACACTGACAGAGGGCAGGCGGCGCCAAGACTCCTTGAATGGCCTGAATCGTCGATGCTGCTACCGAGCACCAAGGTGGGAAAGACGTTTTCAACCGCTTGCATACTGGCTAGCGACGTATGAATCGATAATACTGCAGTTGCCTGGGGATGATGATGCAGGGGAGCCAAACGGTTGAACCTTCAGCCTCCAATCAAGAAGCGAGAATGTGTCCGGAAACAGATTTACGTAGTAGCTTCTATCCACACCTTTCCTCAGAGACTTTGGCCAAGAGCGTTGAAACCATGCTGGAAGAGGCATTGAAATGCTGCTCACTGTCTCCACAGCCAATGCTACTTTGGGAAGCTTCAAAGTTAAGTCCGTCACGAGCCCAGAGCTATAAGAGCCAAGTCGAACTAAACGGAACAATAGGGAAGAAGCTTTCGTTTCACACGGGCAGAACAAGGAAAACAGGCATCTCCGTTGATATCGCGGCTCCATCCGCAGTGTATCATTTACCGAACTCCGTCACTGAGAACCCCTGTAGAAAAGCCATAATGTCATATCCTTCCAAGCCTAGTGTGGCCAGGCGACTCGGTCGAAGTGGTGTGGGATAATAAGAATTGCTGAATGCACCTCGGGTCTTTTTCGTGTAAGAAGGACGTCCCTTATCAACGTTTCGGAGTTCTGCCTATCCCTTGTGCTAACATCGAATATCAGCCCATTGTTGTACTGCCACTAAGCAGCTTCATCCCGACACAGCCGGCCGCAAGTGATATATGTATCACTTAGGCATTATCTCGCCCCCGCAATAACTACTGCAACAGTCAACAAGATGTCCTTCAGCTTCCCTTTAGCATTTTACGTTCTGGGTTCAGTCCATACTTTTCTCTTCCTCTGCATTTGAAATCCAAGATATTAGACTTGTTGGCAATCACAACTCCCGGCTCCTGCGCTTTAACAACCGTATCAATCTGGGCATCTTCCAACGGGAAATAAGCCAAGGTACTCCAACCATCTTGCTCAACGCCAGTCGCCGCCGCAGAGATGAAAGACTCACAACCTTGTTCAACCCGGCCAGCAAACACGAAAGATCTGGAGCAATATATTGCAAGTCTCGAGTCTTATCTGGCAAGGCCGGATGGGAAGCCTGAGAAGAGCGGTACGAAGGCTAGCACCAAAGGTGACAGAGGCAGGAGCTCCGGATCCAAATCGACGAATTCGGACAGCAATTCATCCAAGAAGCACTAGACACGGTTAGCCAGACGTTCGAGCCTCATTTAGCCAACAAAAGTAGACTGTTTACCTTCCCACTCAAAGTCGCTCATGACACCGATCCAGTGCAGTCGACCTCGCACGGTATATTCGAATTCTATGCTCTCCAATGGCGATTCCATTGACCCCTTCCGCGCTAAAGATGGTAAGGGTAAAGGGGATTGCTTTGGAAATTGTGGCACGCTTGCTCCTCGGTAAGAATCCACGTGCATTGAAGCTGCAGTGCCTTCATCGTCCAAGCGGACTGAATGTGGCAGTCCATTCTGGTCGGTCATGGCTCTTCGCTTCGAGAAGGAGCCCTCAACCACAGTAGCGAAGCCAGACCCACCCGATCCGTTGAAGAAGACACCAGGAGTGGTGTTGTCTGCATCCGACATCTTGCGCTTGGTACCCCGAACAGAAATTGGCGAAGGGGTTTCATTCATTGGGACACACCAGGTAGCTTGCCTTCTCAACAGCCGATCTGCCTTCGCTGCTTCGAAGCGGTCTCTTCGATCCCACACTTCTTTGACCACATCGAAACATTTGTCAACGTTGCCTATCGACAGCCGGGCGGACATGGCTGCCCATCGATTTCTGACCCATTGCCTGTCCTCTTGAGTTATGGCTTCACAACTGGCTGCCAAAAGAGGAAAGATTTGGATGATGATGGTTCGGCTGCTCAGAGGAACGGTGGCCAGATACTTCAGGACCGTGTTGGCCAGAATGCTTGCCGGGTCGGAGGGAATCTCGGGCACGGCTTGATGAAGATACAACAAAGTAGCCCATCGATATGCTTCTGCCGTCTGGACGCTATGCTGTACCTCGCTCGTGGGATCCTCCGGTATCTCAAAGCTCACAGGTGCTGGTGGTTGCCACTGCTCAATCCTTCTCTTCAACTCGATCGCGTCACTGATGAGTGTAAAAGAATTAGTGCTGGACTTCCGCACCCTCCTCACAATAGCAGCTACGCGGCCGATGAGGGGAAAAAGTGTACTTGCGGCCCCCATAAGAGGATCGATCTCCAGCATATTATCAAAGGGTTGGTTAAAAGTGGCCAACACATTGTCCAGATCGTCAAAGTCGTCCTCTTTCAAACTGGTTAACTGTGCAATCACGTCCATGTAGATAAACGTATTACACAAAAACCTCAACCGATGGAGTTGCTGCATGTTGCTTCTGCCCGTCTGCACAGCATTTTGATGCTTAATGACAGCTTGATTGACAAAATATTTGGCTCCCTTGAGATGCTCGATACCACTGCTTACATGCCGGTCCCAGCTTTCGCTAAAGGCCAAGACAAGGGTAGTAGCCAAAGCGGCATCCACCTCGTTCGAGCTGAGTGGGTCATCGAACCTCATATCGTGCAGAGAAGTGGCAAGGTTGGTCACGCTTTTGTGCATATGCTTCATCCCGTCCATCCGAAGTTCCGGTGCCGCCTTGGAGCTGTGGAAGGCTGTCAAGGCCGCAATTGCATGATACAAATGCTTCGACTCTTGTGCCATTGGCCATAACACAGTTCTCCAAGGATTCTCGTTTGGCCCGTCCTTGACAGACAGGATGCCACAAGTCTGCCGATCGAACTGCACCAGAAGCATTTCTGGAGAGCTGCTTGGAAGTCTTGGCTGCGCCCATAGGTCCATGATGGAAGAGCTGGACGAGGATGATGACTCCGACGGGCTTGGAGAGGTAGACGGTAGGCGGAATGACCAGTTATTGGACATGATACGTTGCTGCTGATCCAGATTCATCATCGGATCGTCTCTACGCACAATTTCTTCGACATCCTCGTCATCATCTACTGCTCCATCGACATCAGCGGGTGGCGTATAGCCACTAGGCATATATGGCAAGGGCGACTGCGGTGGTCGAAGTTCTATTGGAGGCGGGGGAGAATTTAGATCCGTCCCGGGCAACAAGATATCTCGTAAAGTAGGTGAGCCGGAGGGAAAGGAAGAGGGATGGTGTGCTGGGTGTATAGGTCTCGGCTGGGAAAGATGGTTTGCGTTTGGTTGAGCCTGGGGAGAATTGTCTGATGCATACGGATTGACAACTGACTGGTGCTCATAAACGTTCTGTGTCTGTGATTGCGGTATGTAGTCGATGTCCTTGGAGAAATGAGGCGAAATTGGGGTGGGAAATCCGGTGTAATGATTTGGCATCAGGTACGGATCGCGAAAAGCATCCGGGCTGCCAATTGCTTTGAAGCCACCATCTGCCTCAGGTACGGGTGAAGGGCCCGCATTAGAATCGTTCGAAGGGCTCGAAGCCGACGGCGCCTGGGCAGATATATTCCTGAAAGTCGAAGGCGGCGGCGGAGGGGACACTGGCAGTAGACACATGGTTAACAGGCTTTTCCATCCTCACTGTTCGAGGACTTTACCCTTCTTGGGCTTGGGTCCAGATTTGCCCGTGAAATTGGCTTCCTCAAAAGACCTCCATTTGAATGCTTTACTATACCCGCCACATTGCACGTTGCGCTTTCGGCATTGCTCGCATGTTGGCTTGCTCTCATCGCATTTCAATCGTTTCCCCTTGCACGTGATGCACCCATTCCGGCTCTTGCTCTGCTTGGGCTTTGTGATTCCCCCATTCTGGACCCCGGACGTAGTGGGAGTTCGGCCAGAGCTTGCGAGGGGTCTCCCTCCAGCATTCGTGATCGGTTGAATCGGAGCTGGGTTGGGAACCGGCGTGGAGTCGCTGGCTGGTGACTTTCTCAGAAACGCTGAGGGACTTGGAATTGTGATGGTCTCCATGCAGTATGCAGTGGATTGGGCATTGGGAGTACCTCGCTTATCGTAGGCGGGAAGCGGTCGATGGTGTGGAATACGCTGACATGGCACATCTGCAAGTGAGATTTAGATGGGATTGAAGACGGAGTCCGCGTAGCAGCTCAAGCACCGTGCCTGGCCAGTACAAAGGCGCAATATTAGACAGCAAGGTGTAGTGGTCCGGGGATGGGAGAGAATGGCGCCAACCGGACCCCAAACCCCGATAAGGCAATTCCCTCGGCTTCAACGATGTGCAGGGCGATAGGCGATAGGAGAGCCAACCACCTAACTTTGGTCAGCGTTGACTCTCTCCAGATCCTCACCCGGACCCTCTGTCTTCGATCACCACGTTTAGACTATTCTTGTTCTCAACACAATCTGCGGATGGCAGCGAAGTTGCGAATACCTTGTGCACGTTGTGTGCTTCGGGCACAGCCTCATGAGTTCTGGCCTGTAGACCTCAACCATTTCGAAACACCTTGAGGGATGCTCTGTTTCTCATCTAGAATTGCATTATCACTTGCGCCGTCTAATCAAGGATATTCGAGCCAATTTGGGAAGAGCGGTCCAGCAACGGTTGCTGAGAACAAAGCGCTGCAGCAGTACTTGAGACGTGCGAGGTCCAGGCGTCTTTGTATACAAGTAAGACAACCTTCTAAACTAAATCTAGATCCGAGAAATCCAGGAGGAAAATGTTCTCAGTAGCCAGAAGATTTTACGGTGCTTGGTCTGTGTCTCAATCCTACAGCGTCCTAGCATGGTTTGAGACAAGATGCCCCTTACAGTCATCAGTCGACAGTCTCGTATACATTTTGGCCATCGTTGTGCAATTGATCTTGCTCTCAAAGTTGTTTTTCAGAACCTATAGTCCAAGTTGTTTCGATACCAGCGCTTTGCATGCTTTGGTTGAAATATAAGACCTGGGACCAAAAATCCGACTCCTGGGCCTACAAGTACAAGGAAGCTGGAACGTTGTCTTGTACATCATATAATTGTCTTTGCGTAGACGCATAGCACAGAAATCCAAACAGACCCAAAACGTGATCATCGTACTTGAAGAATTTTATACTGTTGGATTCTCGATGAAGCTTGAAGAAGAGAGATGCAAAGCAGCTCCCGCAATAATCCGCTCCGGGGGAGGAAATGAGTCCAGTGAGCGCAGAACGCCCGCTCAAACACCACTGAAGTTCAACGAAGGATACATCAAAGCCTGCTATAACTATAATCCAGCCTTTGCAATCTCCGCTTCCGTCCACTCCCAGAGTGTCTTGCCCGCTTCCACATCCATCGCATATTTGTTGCCTGAATTTTCGCCATCGACCTTCCCTACTGGTGTATAGTATGCCCCATTCTGGAGCTCCTCTTTCTTGGCGCCCGCTGCTGCCCAGATCGTGTTATGAGCGCCAGTCGAGATGGGTTGAAACAACAATGGTCCAATGAGCATGAGAGCCCACCGAATTAGAGCATTGCTCTTGTTAGTAGTGTCCCATAGGCCTGATTTGATAATCCCAGGATGGACCGAGACCGATTTTATAGCAGGATACTGCCTAGCAAGCTCAGCGGCGAAGAGTATGTTGGCAGCTTTCGAGGCCCCGTAGCGGGTCCATGTACTGGTTGCAGAGAGCTTCTCATTATCCAACATGGTCTCCATGGCTGGTGCTCTGTTATTAGCGACTGAGCTGATCGAGATTACCCTAACATCTGAGCCAGGAAGTGCTGCTGTCTTTTCCAAGGTCGGTAGTAACAATTTCGTCAGAAGATGATGTCCAATGTGGTTGGTACCAAATTGAATCTCGTGACCTTGCTCCGTCTTACCCAGGGGTAATGCCATGACACCAGCATTGCAAATTAGGATATCAAGACGTTCAGTGGACGATCTCACCGACTCTACCGCGGATCGAATTGAACTGAAGGATGCAAGGTCGAGTGATAAGTTTTGAAGGTCAGTACCTGATTGTCCAAGTGATTTTCTGATTGACTTGACCGCTTCTTCGCCTTTGGACTGTGTACGAGAAGTAAGATATATTTTCGATGGATTGTGCTTGGCTAGTTGAAGAGTGGTTTCTCTGCCCAGTCCATTATTGCCTGGAAGCGTTTACATGAGTCAGTTGAGTCATGAGATGAGATTCGAGCTACAAAGACCAACCTCCAGTAACGAGAATCACTTTCCCAGCGAGTGCCCTAATACTGTTTTCTGGATTGAATGAAGGGGCGCCAGTTGTGGGAAAATAGGTGTGGAAGCCTTGAATTGGATGGAGTAGATATGGTGTGATAAAGCCCGTCGTCTCTACGATCCCCAGAATGTTGGCCCAGAAGATTAATGGAGGAGATTTACGTTCCCAACACGACGCATTTGAAGGACATTCATCCTGATCGACAATCGAGCTGTCCATGGATGTCGAATCCTTGATCATGAACGAGAATCCGGGGAAGAGATGTTGAGCTCAACGACAATTGGACGCCACCAACTTGGCAGGTACCGGATTGGTCCAGGTTGTCAGCAATACATCCGTATGCTAGGATGGATATGATGGATAGACGACTGAAAATTGACGGCGTGCCAACTAGCTACAAATGGTAGGGGGGGCACATTTTTCTATCTATAGTTGATCATACGCACAAAATCATCTTACGAGACCGGGTCTGCCTGCCCCTTTCAGTGTTACCCACGCATTCGCTATGTCCTTTTCATACAATGTACATATCAATATCCAAAACCTTCGACGTGTAAGTATATACCTTGTGCTCCTGTCCCCTTGTGCACAGCTCGTTCATCGCTAAGTGCCACCACACTTGCGCGGACGTCGTCTTGCAGTCCTTGGGGTCCGCACACGACGACCGCACTCTCGCCCTCCGCTTCTTCCAAAACCTTCCTTATGATGCTTCGGGGTTGTGGTCGACCGAATAAGAACTTCATGGCGGGATTGGGCGTAACAGCCGGCCGGTTGCTTGGTTCCGCTTCAGATGCGAGGGTTGCGGAACTCGTCGTTGTGGCTTTCGATCCATGCGCGCAGGTACAGACGGGACGGTTTGGCTCGTCCTCAATCGTTGCTCTACAGCAGCACGAGCCGTCAGGCCCGCAGCCACCGCCTTCGGAATGATTATGCTCACTTGACTGTAGACAATTCACTTCGACAACTTTCTCGGGATCTCTCTTTTCCATTGTACCTTTCTCACCGAGTCCAGACTTAGCTTGTTTTGGCTCTCCATGCGCCCCTGATTTGCAAGATCTTGTAGAGGTACTCTTCTCAGCATACAATGCTTCATCACATGTGATATAAACGCTGATGTCTACCTGTCTGTCATCTTTAGGATGCTTTGTACGCCCCATAGCTGTGTTATCAATGACCTGATGTAGCTGCGTAATGAACCAATCAAGCTGGTTGCGTGATTTCACTACCCATACAAAGCGAATCCTGCGCGTCAAAGCGATTTCATCGGTAAGTGAATGGCGAGGAATCACGTCCTTATCGAGAAGCCACGACTGAACGATGTATCGCAGATGTGGAACTGTAAAGGTGGCACCTGTGCTGCCGGCGAAGAAGACAACGCTATCGAACTGACGTAGATTCCTCATGCGTCCGTATGGGCCTTCAATGCCGACTTTCCTCATCGTTGACCCCGAGTTCTGGTTTGCCAAAGGTAGAGCATCACTTTTGGTTGCATGATGGAGGAACTCCTTTGTACCACCCTGGTGGGCCTTGACGAAGAATTCCAGCTTGCCATCTGAAGGCAGAGAGGCAATGGTGAAGGGGTGACTCTGTAGTGGTAGCACAGAATGACATGACAGAAAGACGTGCTGGCCAGGCTTCCACATAAAGACTGGCTTATCAATCGAGACTCGGGTCACGCCGTCCGGCAAAGCAGTAAAGGATGCAGAGTTTGCCCACAACCCATTGACCTTCATCTTCCAAAAATGGAAAGGAGTGAGATTGAGGTACAACATCCGTCTCATCCTGAGAAGACGATCGAGAGCAAAAAGGGCAATTGGCAGCCAAACCCACACCTTGACCTCATCCGGTACATGAAGCCAGATAGCCGCAATGAATCCGGCAAAGGTGAGGAGATGAGAGATGACAAACATCTCATAGCTGAGTTTGCGCATAGGGGTGGCAGAGGTTATAACTATAAAGGTCAAAATGCACCATGCAGCAAAGCCTCGTTGGGTAATTGGGTCTGTGGTCAATTTAACCTTGACATAATCATACCGAGCCCAATTCCTGAACCAAAACCCCATATGCAACGTCGCCGAGAGCCAAAGTGTCCTAGCAGTCCATCTGTGAAGCCAATTCAAGCGTTCGTAGCCAAAACCAGTAAGCATACCTATGATGTTCTCTTTTGCTGATAGCAAGACTATCAGTGGAAGTTGTGCAATGGAGACGAAGCCTGTTCGATAGCCAATATCTTCCCAGCTCCATTTGTCTTGCGTATCTAACTTGTAGAAGCACAGAACAAGAACAACGATCACGTTAGAGAAGACGAGAGTTGTCCGGCCCAGGTTTGGAAAGCGAAATGACCACCTTCTCCAGCGAAGTGTGCCTAAAGGAGCATAGCTGAGCTCGCGCGCTACAGCTGTTGCTGTGGCGAAGGACACCCAGAACATGGACTTTGGCTTGGACTGTTGCGACTGGTATCTTCAAAGATGTAAGCCAGCATCTTCTATGGAAGACGACACCTGAATAATACCTTTGAAGAGCCAGAACTTTGTTCAGAACGTTGATCAGCGTTGCACAGGCAATCGCAGCTCCGAGCACTGCCCAATACATCTTCTGCACGTAGAATAAATTTGGTACTCCATTCCCTGTCGACGTGTCCCCCATCCCACCTGCATGGTGGGAATGATCCATTGGCGTCAAATAGGTGGTTTGTTAAATACACCACAAGTGTTGCGATGGTAAGCGTAACCTGCACGACAAGCTACTCTCCAAGGATCTCTTTCCTTTGAGAGGCGAGCAGGAATGTTAGGTGATCATGGTCCGTAGTGTGAGCCTTAAGCAAAAGCTCCAGACCAAGACGAAGGTGCAATCTCTCCTGATCAGATTGTGACAGCCAAAGAGGAAGAAAAATGTGGAGGAATTGGGTAGTATTGGTCAGACTGAACTCATTTGGCAGCGTATGGGGGCTTCACCTTGTTTGTTCCGCAGCTGTGAAAACGTCCAATACACATCGAGTAATGCTACGTATTTCAAGCTGTGCTGACTCCACTGCGCTGGTGGGTGGGAACCAAGCCTGTGGGTTGTCACAGACCTCAACTAGCCAATTGCGGAAAACTTGCTCAAACTTTGACCATTCGCCACATATCACAAGCGATACTTAGCTGGTAGGGCGGACCGCCATAGGCCATCATGTAGCTAAGAAGAAGTGCACGGAGTGCTGGACTCCATGCTGATGCCAGAGGGGCGGCTGAAGAAATGACGGAGTGCGGCTACTGTCCACATCCATCAAGTTCTACAACCTACGGGCGAGTTCGAAGGGCAATTGAAGCCACTTAGCTTTCGAAGTACTAGTACTACGGAAACACTTTCGCATCTGCTGGACCTCACTTCAGAACACTAGTACTTCTAACCACTCGATTCTCGATTTCAGAACATTACAGGCATGGCCCACTCGAGCGGTTCTTCAGGTCATGGCAGCATCTTCACGAACTCGCGAGACACGCCGCTCTACTCGTCGAACTGGGTCCCAAGTTCTGCCGGAGGATATGCTGGAACCTGCATATTCCTTATTGTTCTGGCCTCGGTATTACGGTGTCTCGTGGCTTTCAAGACTGTGCTGGAGCAGCGATGGCTGGCCCAGGCAAGGTGTCGGCGTTACGTTGTGGTCAAGGGCAGAGGAACTGAAGCTGGAAAGATCGAGTCTGATCCTGCGGCAAAAGCAGGCGCTCTCATCACCACGAACGGAGTAGAGGAGAATGTCAAGATTGTTCAGTCAAACAATGAAGGAGCAATCCCATTCAGATTGAGTATTGATATACCACGAGCGAGTCTTGTCACGGTCATCACAGGTGTTGCATATTTACTGTGAGTGTCGTGTCCTGTTCTTGATGAGACAGTTGATCAGTGCTGACCATGCACCAGCATGCTGGCAGTCATGACCATGAACGTGGGATACTTCTCATCAGTTCTTGCTGGTACCTTTGTCGGCGAGCTGGCTGTTGGGCGCTACGCACAGTGGGAAGACCATTAACATGTGTCTCATCCATTGTCATGACTGACCGAGATTGAATCTCCACTAAATGCACAATTGGTTTGCATACATGGCGTGCATACGGGGCGAGCATTGATTTCTCAGAGTCAGGGACAGGATAGACACGACAATCTTGGGTTTCCATTTCTGGGACCACGGTTGCCATACAGTACCATAATACTTTCGGGCAGGCATAGTGGAGTTCATAGATGGCCCCTCTGGCCCCTGATTCGCTGTTGACTAACTTAGTTACAACTAGATCCCGAAGAACTCGTCTGAGCAGATTTCCAAAACGACCAACCCTCAACCAAGCCAAAACATAAACTTGCTCAACCTCCATCATCTGTAATATGCCAGATTTGACTAATTGTATTTCTAATTAGAATGCATCTGCTATTGGTAATACGGAGTACATCTAGCCGCCTTGAAAGTCCTGCCCCAACCCTTTTCCATCAGACGTAGCTCCTTACCCCACTACCAACAGCTCATATCCACTTCCGTGGAGGGTTTGTCTAAGCAGGACAATCTGGGCTCTCGAGAGGATGCTAGTGGAATCAATGAAAGCCAGCTATCGCAATTAGATCGACAGTTGCCACGAGACTCTTCTTTCACATCTGCGTTTTCCTTTATTGTGTACAACGCTCTGGAAGCTCTTTTCCATTTCAAAGTCTTGACTCTTCTACTACCCTTTTCGCCCTCTCGGTATTTCTTTCTGTATCCTGCCGGCGACTCCGTTCTGCACATCATCTGCATAATGCTTTGCCACTCTCTGCTCGTTCCATTTTTTGCAGCTCTTGTACCAGTGTCCGCCCACTTCGAACTGAACTACCCCACAGTTCGAGGTTTCAATGAAGACAATCTCGGCACTGGACCGTGTGGAGGCTTTGATACTCCTACATCCGAGCGTACCTCGGTTTCAACGACATCGTTAGTACTTGCCCTGAGGATGGGCCACGACGAGAATGCAGTACAAGTTCTTATGGGAATGGGTGACAATCCGGGAAACAATTTCAACATCACACTCGTTTCCACTTTTCGAGAGGAAGGTCTGGGAGAATTCTGCTTGCCAGATATACCACTACCTTCGAACCTCGGAATTATGGATGGCATGAACGCTACGATACAGGTGGTGACTAATGGGGATCCAGCTGGCGGACTTTACAACGTGAGACATGACAAAATAACATGATAACGAACCGTGCTAATGAAACCGCCTTCAGTGTGCAGACATTACATTCACAACAGGTACGGTAAATCCTCCATCGCAATGTACCAATGGCACGGGCGTGAATGCAAGCCCGTTCCCCTCACAAGCCGCTGCCCGGAATGCCAACGAATCAACTCCTCAAGGACAAGCTCAGAGTGGATCAACCAGTGAGACTGGATCGTCAAGTCAGAGCGGGAGCGCCACTGGCAGTAGCACAGCGGCAACAAGCACACCAACAGGTAAAGCGGCTGCAGCGAGCGTGGGTTGGGGACTGCTTGGAGCTGTTTTCCTGGGAGCAGCCGCCCTCTTGTGAGTAGGCTGTCACACCTGCAGAAAACCTAGATTTGTACAGTATTTAATATAGGCGCTTTCGCTCAAGTCATTGAACAATCAGCACCCCAGTACTCCGTATTTCTCGCCGTAACATCACAATTGAAGTAACCTTAATTGTGTCTAAATGGAGGCTTAGGACTCAAGGTTAGGGCAGGAAGACAGTTATGGCGTCAAGGAAGAATGTCTACGTCATTGATAGATGTAGTTCCCTGGAGGACGCGACTGGAAGGTGTGCCTTTTTCCGAAAGCGAGGCTAATCAGCATCCATTAAGTGTTCAATATCCTGCTCAATATAACTCATTAAATCTTGAACTGGCTGGCTTCTCTCCGATAACGCACAGTCGCACAGTCGCACAGTCGCACAGTTGCACAATCTGGCTGGCACCACAATACGGCTTTCTCGTCTGCTCTCCACAATGGCTAGTAGTAGCAGTTCAGGGGCTGCTCCATGGAAATCAACGTTTGACTCCCATTTGAAGAAGTTGGGCTCATCTCCGGAATTCTACCTTGCCACCGTCAGCCACGAAGGCTCACCCAGGGTACGAGCATGTATACATCGAGGCTTCTGGACAGCACTTCCTGAGAATTCACACAATAAGTTGCCGAAGAATCCTCCGGTGTTCGACTCGGATTGCCCTACTTTCACAACGGACGCTCGGATGAGTAAAGTTTACGACATTTTTGCCTCAGGAAAGGGTAAGGGCACACTGGAGCAAAGTCGAGCGGGCACTGGCGGGGGAGGTCCCGTTGAAGCAGTGTATTGGGTGAAGGATATTTCGATGCAGTGGAGAATCAAGGGTCAATGCTGGATCATTGCTGCAGACGATGTCGAACACGAGGGAGACGGCGATATGCAGAACTCGGGGACAGTAACGGTGAAAGCAGTGTTGCAACGATACATGCGTAAGACTGGCGAGGACGGCGACTGGAGCTGGAAGCGAGAGGTGGAGAATCACTTTGGGAACCTATCACCGATGATGAAGGGCACCTTCAAGAACCCGCCTCCGGGACAACCGTTGAAGGATGGAGCTGGACCAGGAGAGGCACTTGGACAGAAAGCCGGTGAGTTGCAAGAGGAAGATCTAGCAAGAAAGAACTTCAGAGTCGCTGTCCTCACGCCTCAGGAAGTGGAACAGGTGGACTTGAGTGACCCTGCCCACAATCAGAGATGGAGATGGACACTTACAGGCGATGGTAAGGACGAAGGGATTGCCGAATGGGAAATGGTAGAGACGTGGCCGTAGATGACCAGTTCATGAAAGCCTAGAAACATAATCATTGCGCCATAACTTGTGTGGCTTTGGTTCAAGCTTTGAAGGAAGGTTTTAGAACAAATGCTTACTACGGTAGGAGGCATAATGTTTCGCACCTGCGCACTAGTAACTACTTGTAACGCCAAGATAGAACGCCACAAAATCGCTCAGTTAGGACTAGTCTAGTTTTTTCTTAATATTGGGTATGCCGTCCTTCTGCATCTTTAGATGGCGCAGAATTCGTAGATGGCGCAGAATGAGATAGAATCAGTAGAATAACGTGTAAAATCAACAAAATGCGCGTAGAATGGCGATAGTTAGCATTCGTACAGAGCAATAGGGTATCTGTATAAGCACTGTTAATGACGTTACTTACTAGTGCGCAGGTGCGGAACATTATGCCTCCTACCGTAGTAAGAACTTGAATTGGGGCCGAGTTGATCTTGGCGCAGATTCGGGTATCGATTAGTAGTTAGTAGGGCACTGTCTGGATGTAAATTGGCGTTGCTGTGGAGGATGCCACCCCTGCAGCTTTTGTTTACCTTGGCTACTCCAATTCACATTCATCCCTACGACCATAGTACCTGAGCATCTACTTAAGCTCCGCAACGCCTTCCCACCGCAGTTGCTCTGAAGCATCTGGTGACTTCGGAATTTTGAAGTCCACAATACATCCTTAGCCATGGAGATGCCCACTCCTCCCCCGCTCTTACACACTCGGTCAGGCAATGAACATGCGTTCACGACTCCCGTCTCAACCCCTCAGGGAAGCCCAAGCAAGAACAGACTTCCGCCTGGCGCCAACGACCTGCCAAATGTTTTCGAGAATTCGCTGAAGCTGGCCCCTCTATCTCCAAGTTCTTCTTCTGGAAACATCAATCGAGACCCTTTCGCCGACAGTTCCCATTCCGGAAGCCCAAAGAAATCAAACAAGGAAAATACACCACCAGGAGGTGGGTTTCGGTTTGGAAAGGAAGGCAACGCTGTACAAAATCATGCCGCCATCAGCCGTCAAGAACCTTATCAGCAAGCCGACAGCAGAAAAATACAAACGCAGACTAAAGGTCTCACTGTAGAAGAATTGCAGAAATTACAGCAGCCAAAAGTGAAGCGACTTGCCAACGTCACTCAACTGTACTTCCTTGACCACTATTTCGACCTTCTTTCCTACGTTCACAATCGTCAAAACCGACAAGCTGCTTTCGACGCCCATAATCCTTCACCTCCAGCTACACCGCAGGAAGACTACGATGCTGCTCTCAAAAAGTACCTCGGACGTGAACGTGCAAATCTCCGCAAGCGCCGTACTCGCCTCAGACACGGTGACTTTCAAATCTTGACTCAGGTCGGCCAAGGTGGTTATGGTCAGGTCTACCTAGCCCAAAAGAAAGATACGCGAGAAGTCTGCGCATTGAAAGTCATGAGTAAACGCTTATTGTTTAAGCTTGATGAAATTCGTCATATCCTCACTGAGCGCGACATCCTGACTGCTGCGAAATCAGAGTGGCTTGTCCGTCTTCTCTATGCTTTCCAAGATGAGCAGCAGATCTATCTCGCCATGGAGTATGTACCAGGAGGTGACTTCCGCACACTACTCAACAACACAGGCGTCTTACACAACCGGCATGCCCGCTTCTACATTGCCGAGATGTTCTCATGTGTTGATGCGCTTCACAACCTTGGTTACATCCATCGAGATTTGAAGCCCGAGAATTTCCTGATCGACTCTACCGGACACGTAAAGCTTACCGATTTTGGACTTGCCGCTGGCATGCTTAGCCCGATCAAGATCGAATCTATGAGGATCAAGCTTGAGGAGGTCGGCAACACACCTGTTCCCTTTGGCATGCAGCCTATGGAAGACCGCTCTGCAGCGGAACGTCGTCAGGGATACCGCTCCCTCAGGAGGCAAGATGTCAATTACGCCAAGTCAATTGTTGGTTCACCTGACTACATGGCCCCAGAAGTCCTGAAAGGAGACGAGTATGATTTCACAGTCGATTACTGGTCGCTGGGTTGTATGCTTTTCGAGGCTTTGGCTGGATATCCACCATTTGCAGGCGCAACCGTGGACGAGACATGGCAGAATTTGAAACGCTGGCAACGAGTACTTCGAAAGCCGCAGTACGATGATCCAAATTACTTTTTGAGCAAGCGGACCTGGGACTTGATCACACGACTCGTGGCGGCAAAAGAGAATCGTTTCAAGTCGATGAGCGAGATCCACAAGCACGAATATTTCGCCGAAGTAGACTTCAACGCGCTTCGGGAACAGAAGGCACCGTTTGTTCCGGAACTTGACAGCGAAACGGATGCAGGATACTTTGACGATTTCGGCAGTGAAGCCGACATGGCTAAATACAAGGAGGTGCACGACAAACAGAAGGCGCTAGAGGAGATGGCTGATAGGGAGGACAAGATGAGCAAGGGCTTATTTGTTGGATTTACCTTCAGGCATGTTTGAGACTGTCGACTGCTATCAGAATTTAGTACTGACCAAGCTCCCAGACACCGTAAACCAACAGTCGACGCTGACGGCAAACAAGCCAGCCCACGAAAGGCCATTGCAACTGATGGCACGTTCGGCACCATTTTCTGAACAAAGAGGAGACATGAGACTGATTCTCGCTGATGAGGTGGGGGTGGGCGCTTTGAACACTGATTGAGCCTACTGTATCATGCATTGGCGTATTACTCTCGGAACGTGTTTGGGGTCCTCACTTAGAGAGAAGGCGATGAGCAGCTTCTCAGGTGTTGGGTGGATGAACAGCTCATGATTGCATGAAGGGGAGGTGTAATAACATGGGCACAACGAGGTTAATTTTTGTGGCAACAGCAGCAGGATCGGGGCTCTTCGGCTTGCATTACTAGAAGGAATCCCATTTCTTTTCACACCACCAACTTGGCTTGAGAACTCCTTGTGCTAACTAATAGAGACGATAATGCTTGGGGTAGCCCGAGACGAGAGAAGGGGACAGCGGACCCGACTTTGCTACTGAATCTCGATGCCGGATGGACCCCCTTGCCAGTTACACATTTACGTCGATCGTTGATACAATGCGCTCTATGATGTTGTGAAGGTAAGGGGGTTGATTTTGTGACAAAGTCACGTAAGTGGCATATAGAGGACGCGAACGGCAGAGAAGGCAAAAGAGATGGGCAAGAATGCTCTAATTCGCAGGTGGCTGTCGCATAAGCACCGGCGAGAAAGGATCATTACCTTTGACTCGTCATGGTACATCCTGGCCAGGAGTACAGGTCAGTCGCTCATCTTCCTCGAGCTCCCTCAACATTGAATCATTGATGGCCATTGATAACCTTGCAATACAGAAGCTGATACACTAGAGTTCTTCAGATGTCATCATCCAACTGCCGATCCGATGTCATTTATCCAGCTCACTGGTACAAAGTCTGCATACTGCTCCTAGGTGAGTTCTCGTCTCTTTACTGTGCTATCTTTTCTTTCACAATATAGATTCATGCAAATCCCTTACATCCAGCAGAGCTTTAGCCATAGTCAGACTCACCTTCTTCGCTTTGCTGTCCGTCTTTCATCTCCTTCTCTATGCCTGTGCTGCGTCCCATCTTGCACGATCTCATCAGGCCAGTTTCTTGAACCGTTTCTTCTTTTTTTGGACACCATCTTTCGGTAGCAATGTCTTCTATCCATGACATAGCTTAGCCTCTCTGTGCCACCTATGTTTTATCCTGTGTACGCATCTTTCTTCCCAGCCCTGTGGCATCTGGTGGGATCTTCCCTGTGCGTCCCATTCAGAAAGCTTATGACTGTGTTTTGTTCTGGATGTCCATCTTCTTTGCTGGCATTGCTGCATTTAGTAGGATTTCGCCATATATCGCCTTCAGAAAGCTCATGCTTTGTCCAAAGCCAGAGGTGTGTGGCTGCTCTCATTCATACCACTTACGCCAAAATTTGCTCGGTCATTCAACGCGTTACTTTGGACATTCGTCTTCCATGTTGCTATGCCCTCGATATGCATCTTGCTGTTTGCGTCGTGACCACGGCCTTGCTATGGATAGGTTGGACAGTATGCACGGTAATGGAAAGCATCATGGAGCTGCCATTTTTTGCGTCTAGCTTACTTGGAAGGGAGAAACAAGCACGGATGGAGAGAGAAAACCAGAACGGGAAGCATGGTTAAACTAGGGGACTTGAGCGCAGTATCGTAATAGCGGCGAGGGTACGCAGGAGGACATTGTGACAGCTATTGCAGCTGTAAACCGTCCAGGTCATACAAGAAGCAATGGTCGGTCTATAGGAAGAGCAAGAATAATGGAAGGCATCATTTTTATGGTAAGAGCGCAAGACTCCGTCGTGGTGTAACACAATGAGGAGAGCGATGAAGGGAATACGTTTTGAGAAAGCGTTGACATGATAGTGACGGGTCATCTACCGGACGTCCAAATCACACGCCAGGGTCTTCAACGCTCACCTGGAAAATACGCTGGTCATTTGGCTCGGAGTGTTCGGCCCATGCTCAGTACCCTACACCCGACAGTCGCTTCAGAAGCGTCACATTGTCCCTTTTCGGGGGAAGAAGCGCATCCTTATCGGTCACTATTCACCTAGTCACGCATTCTAGCAACCACCATCTTGGCCATCCTCTGAAGGAAGCGCATCATCCTAATCAGCAACACTCCGTTTCTTCAAGCAACTGGGACAATCACCCTGTTGTACATCTACTGTCCCACCGTCTGCAGGAGCGACATCGACAGTGATGAAGCCTCTTTTTAGCTTTGCTTGCTCATCTTGGATTTGCGAGGTCGTCTGAGTCCAAGCCAAACGAGACGGCTTGGTCACACAGTCTGCACAAGCACCACCCTTGGTATCCTCTGTGGGAAGCACATTGTCCCAATCAGGAACAGTCCGTTTTGTGCAGGTGACGCAAGTGCCCTGCTGCACACCACTTTGTTCATCCTCAGTGGGAGCAACATCCGCTGTGATTAACCCTCGTTTCTGCTCTGTGTTGCCTACCCCAGAGTCAGCGCCCGCAGGATCAGCATTTGCGCCAGCGATGTTCTGGCCCTTCCATCGCCTTTGCCAGCTTCCGCTGCGATAGAAGTGCGTCCCAGATGTCTCTGCAGCCCCATCACCTTTGTGTTCATCGAAACTCCAACCTGCTGGGTCGGTACGCTCCTCGACAGACTTTGATGCCAAACCATCATGGGCTTCCAGATCCTCAGCGACACTCCCACCAGGGGCGTCGGTTCGCTTCTTGAGAGGCTTTGACCTAAAATCATGCCCAGCGTTTGCCGTCTCTGTAGTACTGTCTCCATCTTGACTTGACCAACCTCGGGCCTGAATGCGAGCACGACCATCATCGATGTTACGCTTGTCATTCGATCCTGCTGCAAGCTGGCTTACCCAGCGACGAAACCAGGTACCGGCAACGTTCCGATTAGGTTCTTGGTCTACGCTGGCAAGCCTTGGCTGTCTCCTGGAGATTCCAGTATTGTCGTATAGCTCCTCGTTGTCTTGCGTGGACTGAAACTGGTTGAATGCATGACAGGAAGCGCAATTTGTTGGGTTGTTGGTTTGGGGAATAGGACTAGAGAGAACGGATGTGAGGTGAATAAAGAAAAGAAGGGCTGCTAATTGAACCGGGTGTTTCTGTTGTCTCATGGTTCTATATGCTGAGGACGAAAAGCGAACGGTTTGGTTCGAAACGGTCGAGCAAGAGCTCACACATTTGAACAATTAAGCAAGCAATGTCCTTGCCACGTCGGACTTTAAGAAGGATAATTATGGATGGTAGACGAGTCCCACTTCAAATCTAGCTTCCAATCATGGTATGGTCGACCCGTGTCCCATTTCCTCGGGACGAACCGACGTATTCACATCCCCTGCCCCATCTAGCTATTGACCGCCTACGGTTCTGTGTTGCAAGAAGCTTGATCATGGGACTCTTCACGAATTTAACATGAGTAAATTGCAGAACGCTGCCGCCCGGCTCGCCGAACCTCTACCTCTGTACAACCGACACATCGGACAGAGATCCAATGCGGTCAAGGTATCCTCGCCTGGCAAGAAAAGGGCAGCGAGGACCGTCTTTGTTACGCCTATCAAAGATCATAACAAGCGAAAAGATACGGGCACCCTCACCAATACGAGAAGTGCCCTGCTCATTCTCGGAAGCGTGATGATTGCGCACCTTGAAGGACAAGGATTTGGGGGCCGATTATTCGACTTGGCGAACGAGCCTCGATTGTGCCCAGACATATACCCCCTTTGTGATCCTCCCATCTGTCTCTTTGTGCTGTATACATCGATGAGGCCTGAGACCTCTCATGCTGAAGTCGACCTCGCGTCTTTCCCGTGTCTCTGTTCGAAGAAGCATAATTGAGGTTCCTCATCACCACTATTCCTCGGCACCAAACACTGGAAACCCCGTCTGTACGTCTTCGCTCAGATCAACTCATCCCTTCCGTCTCTAGCGGTGAGATAGGACTCGAGAAAACCGTTGCAAGACACTGCCAGGAGGTGAGTGTGTACTACTTCTTGGTTTTGATCATTAGACACTGAAAAATGAAGCTACCAAGGAATTGAAACTTCATTCAACATATTTACTTTCCACTTTAATAGCGTGATCGAAGGGAGCTCACATGACGAGGCAATAGGCTCGGGGATTGTGGTGGTTCCAGGAGTACATGGATCCAGGATTCATCTTTCAGTACATAAATACCGCAATAGAATCACCACCTGTATTTTCCGCCATTATTGTTCCTCATTCTCCTTTCTCCCTCCCCCCCTCTGTCCCCTCTCTATCTGTCAAACACAGTCTCACGCAATAGGACCAATACCATAATCAACCAACCAATTCGAATCCTAAGAAAATTAAGCGAAGTAGAACGAGAGTACAACGTGTAAATTCTAAATGCGTAGATGAATTCTTTCAACGAAGATGACACCAACAAGCCAAAATAAGGCAAGACAAGAGAAGACAAGAGAAAGAGAATCCAGGATCTCACGGGCGAAGAAGCGCAGTCACGCCGAAGCACCGAAAAAACCAAGGCCTGAAAGGACTCTCGAGATATACATACCGCCATGCCAGCACCATCGCTGCCAACCCGCGGAAAACAGAGGGATGAAGGTGACCGGATTGAAAGAGAAGAACATCTCCCGTCGTGTCGTCGATCACGGTTACATATCATATAATACGATTAGACATTGACACACACAGATGACCGCCAGTGGTCGTTCCCTCAGTCCTTCCTTCTCACTGCTCCTGAAAAATGTAAGTTACTTGCAGGTCCGCTTCCCCGTGTCTTCGAACTTGCTGACTTGGGGAGCATCACGAATCTTACGACCGCGGGACAGCGAGCCGGTAACACCCCCCTCTTATTACGGAGTAATATTGCGAGGAGGAGCAGGAACAGGAACAGGTTAAAAAATTGAAGTTGATGTTTCTCTTCTTCTTGTCGCGAAAAGGGATGGGATGAGATAAACAGAAAGGGAAGTCAACGCAGAAGCTGATATTGCCCCTCGATGCATTGCTTGAGTGGGGAACATGCTACAACCCCTCTATTCACCTTATCTACACTCACAAAACAGCCGCCGTGCTTGCTTTCAGCTAATGTCCCCCGTTTGGAAGAATCATCGGGATAGAAAAAAAAATGCAGGGTCGAGAAGGCACACTTTCGCTTGTCCATAACATACCTCACCAAACATCTCCCGACGACGTAGCATCCTGGTTCTTAGCCTATTTGTGACTGGATCTTGCCAGCGCCTGGCCCGGAGAGTTTGGTAAATGTACGCGTGTCCGTACCAGAGTCAGGTATGGCATCAGCACCACTCCCCTCTGTCATCACTCTATCTTCCTTCCCGTCATTCTATTCATTCTTCCACGCCGCCCTGAAAGGGTGTTTCGGATTCCACGTCCCGCGATCGATACAATCTTGTTTCCAAGCCAACCATGCTTGTCTCTGCTCCTCGTGGCTCAGTGGACTGCGACGGAGATTCTCGTTGTTGCCATTGTAGTGGTGGTGCTGTTGATGGAAACGTCCGCCGCGTCCCCGGTAGTTTGTGTGGTATGGTCGCTGGTGTTGGGACGGATGGTTCGGGTGGTTCGAGCGCTGATCTGGAGCAACGTTGTGCGGATGATGATGATTGTTGCTTCGATCTTTCCAGGTTCCGGCAGCAATCTTTCGTTGTCTCCACACCTCGAAGTTGAAGGGGATAACTTCCTGTTGGGGTTCGGATGTCGGTGTTGGAACTTGCTGCTGTGGGGATTGAGCCTGCTGGTGCTGAGACTGAACTTGCTGCATGGTAGGCTTTGGGAGGGGTTCGAGTGTGAAACCTAGATCTGGGACTGGCGAGCTGCTGGTCCGGTCGGAAGGTGGCTGCATGCTGGAGGATTCATCTTTCGGAGGCATGACTGGCGTTGTTCGTACAGCCGCTGCATAGCTCACTGGTTTGTTGGCTGAAACCGTGGGTCGTTTGTCGTGAACGTCGTTATTACATTCGGTCCTCGAGGGAGTAGCAGAGGTCGTCTTACCTACTTCGTTGGGCATTGAACTCGTCGTTGTTTCCGCTTGCTCAGCTTTCTGTGAGGTAGACTCGTTGCTATCCTGCCTCGTCATGATCTTGATTGGGGCAGGCGGTTTCTCAGTCCTCACAGCGGATGCCTGATGTTGATTTGGCGAAGGCTCGACCGTCGTTTTAGCTACTTCATTGTCTCGAGGAACGAGTTTCTGCTCTCGGGTGACGACTGAGACTACAGGTCTAGCAGAGGCGTCAGGCTCGAAGATAGTGGCGGTTTCGGTCGTTGGAGGTATGGGACACGGTTGATCTGGTCGCTGTTTAGCTAGGTGGGTAGATGTGCAATCTTCTGCACGATCGAAATCAAAGCTAGGACCTTGAGTTTCGGCATGGCCATAGCCATGCTTTTCTTCTTTCTCATTAACGTGATCTGGGGCAAGAATAACTTTCAGAGGTGGTAGTGCAACCGAGCGATTGTAGAATTTGTGGATGGGGCCATCGAGCTCCGTCAATGACGACACTGGGGTAAGTGGTGAAGCAATGGCGCCCTGCTTTGTGATGCCACCCTCTTGGCTACGTGATTGTCGTATCTGTCCATTTCCGATGGCATCTGAATTGGTAAGAGACCGTGGCTGTTGCTCAAGGAGGCGTCTGATCTCATTCAACTCACTTTGCTGGGCCACGAACTTGGTCTGTAGATCCTTTACTGAAGCGGCGTTGACTTCAAGTAATGATTGCTTCGCTGAAAGATCGTTGCGCAGATGTGTCATCTCCGTGGCCTGGTTTTGCATGGCAATCTGGCTTGCGGCAAGGCGGAGTAACGTTTCTCCATGAAGAGCAATAAGAGATGGATGGAAGATGGTGTTGACATCGAAGTCATGACGGATTGAAGCACAAAGTGCGGGACAAGTTTTCCACATATCTGCAACGAGTGCCTCCGGGCTGTGGTTTGGAACAGTTGGGCCAGTCATTTGAGGGCGGGGTGGGAAAGGCAATGAAGTGTTGCTGGGAGCTTGTTGGGACATCTCCAGTTGTTGTGAGGGATAAGAAGGCTGACTCATGTCAGCCTGGAGATATGTTACTGGTTGAAATGGAATGCTTACGAGAGCTGGTTGGCTCGGCATTGGGAGAAGATAAGGAGACTGCTGCGTGAACATGGGACGTGGTTGAGTAAGGGTTTCGTGTGAATAGAAGGGTTGCACCGATGGATCCATCTGAGCAGAATGCAAAGATTTGAGTGGGTTGGATCGTGTACTGCCCGTGCGTGACATGGTAAGAAGTCAAAGAGGGGGGGGGGGGATCGCAGCAAGATAAAAAGACAGCCGAGTCACAAGCAAAGATGCATAGGCACTGAAGGAAATCGACACAAGATTAATAAGATGGCCTCCTGAACCTCACAAAGGTTCCATTCTCTGCAGCTCGATTGATCTTGACAATCGGAGTGTTTGTTTATGTCAGCCCCCGTGAGCATAATAGAAGGATTCCTCTCACATATAATTCCACAAACAGAAACAGGTGATCAGGCAGTGGTTGTGGTTTGTTGCCGTAACCTCTCATACTATCCACAAACTTTGAAGGGCATCACAGATACTCCAGAGCCAAGGGCTGAGAGAGCAAGAGCTGATAGAACCACGGATTACTGCAGTAGTCAACAGTTCTTGGGAGGCGACGCTTCAACCAGCATTGCAACCAAGGAGCGGAAGATACACCAGACAATTATCTGTGACAGTCTGGAGAACCCTCATCTCTCTACAGCTGTAAGGGAGCTGGGATACCTTCCGGCTCCGCAAATCGATTTGCAGTAGTGTTTGGTATGAAACGCTCTGCCATTTGTCCGTTCGGCGCCTGATGCCTCAACAACCGACTCCTCAAGCTTCCCTTTCTTCCTTGGAAGCCATCTCATATCTGCTTCTTTACGCGAAAACGTCCACCACACCGCTCTCAGGATTCTTTCGGCTGCTCCTTCACCAGCTTTAGAATTGCTGATTCGTTGTCTCCCACCACTGTATTCCGTGTCAGGCCTATGCTGATAAGTTTTCCTAGGTCACTTCTTACCTGCTTTGCCCCGGTTCCAGTCGACAACCTAGTCCAAGATCAGTCGCTCTTCCTATCGATAGGTTCTACCAGTAGAGAGGTACTCCGCTCACCACCGGCCTTAAAAAGTTGTCGGGATTCTCCTGCAGCTTCCTCAGAGCATCCGACTGACTGCTTGCACCCTTGACGAGTTGTGCAGCCTTTGATCCACCCACATACTCGAATATGCTTTTCAATTGGTCCTTTGTAGGTGGAGCTTCTGTGATATCGAGCTCGAAAGGATCTCTGGGAGAATTTTGGTGAGAGTGATCGGAAGCTTGGTCCTCTGTTGCCTGCTCTTGAGATTGAGCTGATGCCTGCTTCAAGAGTGTCGCAATACGTGTTGAAGCTTGTATCGAGGGCGTATGGAACAAGGTTATGACATCGAGGGTCTTGTGCATGCGAAACATATTGGACACGAATGGTTTCATGAACGCGTTGTGCTCCGAATGATGTTGGTAATGGTTATTTAGTTTTGGAGAAGCTGTTGTGGAGTCGTTTGGAGAAGCTTCGAACAAGGGTCTAGCGACATCATCACTGCATATTATTTATTATCCACGACTGTGTAAGGAATTACTATGTGGCCCATGCTTAATGGGATCGCGATGCTACATCGATGTACGATCACTGCCTAACAGAGACACATCGAGTTTCTCCTACGCTTCTCTACGCTTCTCTACGCTCCGACTTGAGGAACCACCCTGAAATGTCTTATCAGGAAAGATCAATCCAAGAAGGCCAGACCTAGGCGTGAGTAACAGTAACAGGACGATAGACAAAGTCAGCGCAGCATTGAGGTCGGTGCTGCATCCAGGACTCACAATAAAATCAAATGCTTTCGGAGACAAACACGACCTAGATCTGTTGCATCTGATGCGGCCCCAAGTCCGCAATAGCTCTGCTCACATTGGCTGTGATAAAATTCATTCCGACTAGTTAGTTGAGGCGCGAAATCGTGAAAGTGATCCCGCTCGAGAAAATCGTACATAGCACAGATATACAAGATGCGCTTTGGAAGTTCCTGTGAAGATGTTAAGACAATGCCGACATCGGATCGAAAAGGTTTGATCGTACTTCGTTGGAAGAACCATTGAACCTGTATCCCCTCCGTCCCTGGGTGGTCCAATTAGCGTCTTGGCGCAGAATAAGGTTTTTTAGCCGCATATGAGCGTCACAGCTTTCCACTGCGCTTTTTATAAATAAATTTTCAGCCACTTACTATGCTACGACCACAGCGAAATACGCAAATTCCTCTGAGATACAGAGATAACTCACCTCCGTCAATACACAGAAACAACAACCAGTCAAAACGGTCAAAAATTGGCTCCAAAAGCGTTGATCGAAATAAAATCGATCAAGCCTTGGCAGTGATTGCCCCGACGCCAGAATGCGCAGATGAACCCTCGACATTCATTTCAACAGAACTCCCTCATTTTGAGGCCAATTACGTTCGAAATCGAGCAGGAGCTTCTCGATACACTAATCTATCTGAATTGGGCTTTTTTCAGCTCTTTTTTAGCGATTTCGTGGTGGAAATCCTCTCTGAAGAAACCAACAAATATGCTGCGTTCAAATTACAAAATCCTCCTTTCCTCAAGAAATGTTACTGGGTACCTACTACGCCGGCAGAAATACGTGTATTCATAGGGATAAATCTCCATTTTGGCTTGTACCATTTAACAGTACGAACGGATTATTGGAAAAACTATATAATCTAGGTTAATTTATAAGTCAAGATTAATTCGCACTTATTCATCACTTTTTTAGTATAAATAGTACTCCTACGCCTCTAAATACACCCTGATTTTATCAAATTTAACGTATAACTAATCTTATTCAAACTGCTTGTCAAAATTCCTTTTATCCCTCTTTTTATATCACTATTAATAAGGCTATAGTCGCCTTTGCAGGCCGTTTAAAGCATATAATTAAGCTAAAAAACAAGCTTATTAATATAGGTTATAAGCTATAGTATATTAGTAATTATAGATATATTTAGAGCTAGTTATTTTACTCTAAAATAGATAGAGTTAAAACGCTTAAGAAAGGGATAAAAATAAGCTAGCTACACCTATACTTTATAGGCACTAAGTATACTTTATTAGCACCTATATTTACGCTTATTTTATACTTAGCTAAACAGCTTCTAAATTAGCTTAAATTCTGTGTTTATTTAGATAATCTATTTCTAAATATGCCTATTATATAGTGCCTGTTAACTATAAGAGTCTATTATATAGGTATAACATGCAAAAAGACTAATAGATTTTCTTTATATCTTTAGAGCTATTTCAAGCAAAATAAGCTATTATAAGACTTTATAATAGCAGAAATTATTAATAATAATACTCTCTGCTTTATTTAGCAAGATAATAAGGCTATTAGCGCTATATTGACTACTTATAGCCTTTATAGGGTTAAGGATAAAGTTTAGCATACGCAAAGATGCCTAAAAATAATGTCTAAAAATTAATAAATTTTACTACTTATTTTTGATAGTTAACTGTTTAAAAAGCTCTTTATTCTAATAATTATTAATAAATATAATCACTATATAAAGAGCGTGAACTAAGCTAATTAATTATATACAAGTTTTATATACTATTATAAGCAGAAGCCCTTAGTGAGCTTGCACTAAGCAGCTGTCAGTCATTCAGACAGCTGGGATATGGATTTCTACCTTCTCGCGGTATCCGGTGTGAGTAGTCGCTGCGGCGATAAAACCAAACGAAATCCAGATGGCGGTATGGGTGAACACGTGCGCTGCGTACGCGAGTTGCCCGCGCGCATTAAACCAGGGGAATTGGCTTACAAAAATCATCTGACTCTTAAGTATCTGACTCGTACTCAGACCTGAAACTAACTCTACCATCAGTGGATGTGATATCATTCTATTTGAGAGACAGGACACCCCTGTGCTTGTCCCTTCTTGAGATCACGCATTATGTATATAGATACAGCGACTCGCTAACGAGGAGAGGAAAATCCTTTAATATAGACGAATAAATAAGCGTTTATTAATCCTTGTTAAGGCCTATAATCTTTAGTACGAACGAATTTGTTAAGACCTATAGGCCTTATTAAGACTAGAGTTACAGGCTACCCTTAGGAATTATAAGCGAATTATTTTATATAAATAACTATACAGAATTATAAGTAGTTAAAGATACTAGTTTACTCAGAATAAGCTTATACAAACTTATTAAAGCGTGGCTATAGGCGTATTATATAAAGGCATCTATTAAGACAATAAGGACATAAGCTTAGTTAGTAAGTAAGGAATTAGTACACAGCTAGCATACGTATATTAAGCGAGTCACTTGCAAGACATAGTCAGTCTATACAAAGAAGACTTTTACAGATAACGCGAAGCGAAGAGCCTTCTAGGCTCAACGTGAAACGTGATATATAATGGCAGCCACTAAGGAGACTGTCTGTACAGCCTGAGAGGACAGGGCAGCCACTAAGGAGACTGTCTGCACAGCCTGAGAGGACAGTATGCGTGTGTTAGTATATAAAGAGTCTAGGCCAGTTATCTCACTTGTACTGAGAGCCTGCGAGGAGTGTGCGTTTTGTATACAAGTCAAAGCGATATTGTTCTAGCTAGATGCTGATGCTATATGCTTAAGGAGTAAACTATAATTAGAGTGTAAGCAAGGGCTTCATCCACCTGAACCCTGAAGTATCTCGCCTTAAACGGTAGATGCGAGAAAGTGTAGCAGAGACCTAGTAAAGGGATGTGAACTCTGCGTTATACTATTTTATAAAGAAAAGCTATCTTAGTCAATATAAAATAGTATAATAAAATTATAGGCTTTAGAGGTAAAGACTTTTACTCTATTACTAGATCTCTATACTAAGAGACTAGTAATTAAGGCAATTTAAACTATAATTAGAGTGTAAGCAAGGGCTTCATCCACCTGAACCCTGAAGTATCTCGCCTTAAACGGTAGATGCGAGAAAGTGTAGCAGAGACCTAGTAAAGGGATGTGAACTCTGCGTTATACTATTTTATAAAGAAAAGCTATCTTAGTCAATATAAAATAGTATAATAAAATTATAGGCTTTAGAGGTAAAGACTTTTACTCTATTACTAGATCTCTATACTAAGAGACTAGTAATTAAGGCAATTACTAAAATCTGTATAATAAAAGCAGTAACTAGTATTAAGGAAATATGCAAACGAATCTGCAGACAAATAACAAGCAAAAAGGGGAGAACAGCAATCTCTCAAAACTCCCTAGCAGATCGTACGAACATCTGGGCAGACTAGTTCATATCTGAACCCTAGGAGGCCTAACAGACAAAGAAGACCTTGCCTCTATAGGAAAAGAATCAGGAATAACACTATAATAAAAGGCTCTTAAAGTTATATAAAGGACTTACTTTATATTATAATAAAAGATAAAAAGACTGCTAGAAATCTAATAAAAAGAGTGCCTATTTAAGAAATTAGTAGTTGCACTTAATAGAACATATAATAAAGGCGTATATAAGTCTTAAGAAACATGAAAACGCTTTACTAACATAACTTCGCACAGGTAAAATAGGCTTTAATACCTTCTTATACAAAATAAAAGTTCCTAACATTTTAAGTCTAAACTGCGACTGCTTAAGAGAAGAAAGCATAATAGTAGAATACGTTTTACTGAACTGCCCTAAGTGGTCTATAGAGAGGGAAGAGCTTATACACCCCTTCTGTATAACTAACATCAAGGAAATCCTGACCTCTAAGAAGGGGTCAAAGGCAGTCATTAGGATAATCCAGTGTATAAAGATCCTGGACCAGTTTAGAAGGGCCGCTGACTAAGACGTAAAACAACGTCTACAAGAGTTAAGCAGAAATCAGGAAGAGGAAGAGGACAGAATAGAGGAAGAGGATAGAATAGAGGAAGAGGACAAAACAGAGGAGGAAGGAAGGGGAAGAAAAGAAATAAAGAAGAGAGGACTATACAAGTAGTGAGAAAAGGTTAATAAGCAGTAAGCAGAATTATTAGATATAGTAGCCCTTATTTTTCTTTTTTCTTAATATTACTTATATTAATGCGTATCTACTATAGAAATAGAGTAATAATATACAGAATTATAATACTTATAAGACCTTTATAAGCGCTTTATATAACTAATTATTATATTTAAATGATCTGAAAGAGGAGGAATAATCCTAGCCTTTACCTATAATAGTCTCTTAATGCTACTATAAACGTATATGAGAGAAAACTCACGATTAATACGAATAGGAAAAGCTTTACAAGCCTGGCTGTGTACATAAAAAGGCTCCTAATATTACAGCATGTGAACACGCCAAGCACCGACAGGCACTACGGAGCTGCCTGGCACTCTGCGAAGGAACTATGATAGACTTGAACAGGACTGGACCCTGAACTACACACATGGTCAGACCTAGACA